CCTTAATATACTATTACCTTTTTATGACATTTTTATGCCTTACTATACTATGATGTTTTTTTATGTTTTTATGCCTTAATATACTATGTTCTTTTTATGACATTTTTTGCCTTGCTATACTATGACTTTTTTTAATGTTTTTATGCCTTAATATACTATTACCTTTTTATGACATTTTTATGCTTTACTATACTATGATGTTTTTTGACGTTTTTATGCCTTACTATACTATGACGTTTTTATGCCTTAATATACTATGATCTTTTACTATACTATGACGTTTTTATGCCTTAATATACTATGATCTTTTACTATACTATGACGTTTTTATGCCTTAATATACTATGATCTTTTACTATACTATGACGTTTTTATGCCTTAATATACTATGATCTTTTACTATACTATGACGTTTTTATGCCTTAATATACTATGATCTTTTACTATACTATGACGTTTTTATGCCTTAATATACTATGATCTTTTACTATACTATGACGTTTTTATGCCTTAATATACTATGATCTTTTACTATACTATGACGTTTTTATGCCTTAATATACTATGATCTTTTACTATACTATGACGTTTTTATGCCTTAATATACTATGATCTTTTACTATACTATGACGTTTTTATGCCTTAATATACTATGATCTTTTACTATACTATGACGTTTTTATGCCTTAATATACTATGATCTTTTACTATACTATGACGTTTTTATGCCTTAATATACTATGATCTTTTACTATACTATGACGTTTTTATGCCTTAATATACTATGATCTTTTACTATACTATGACGTTTTTATGCCTTAATATACTATGATCTTTTACTATACTATGACGTTTTTATGCCTTAATATACTATGATCTTTTACTATACTATGACGTTTTTATGCCTTAATATACTATGATCTTTTACTATACTATGACGTTTTTATGCCTTAATATACTATGATCTTTTACTATACTATGACGTTTTTATGCCTTAATATACTATGATCTTTTACTATACTATGACGTTTTTATGCCTTAATATACTATGATCTTTTACTATACTATGACGTTTTTATGCCTTAATATACTATGATCTTTTACTATACTATGACGTTTTTATGCCTTAATATACTATGATCTTTTACTATACTATGACGTTTTTATGCCTTAATATACTATGATCTTTTACTATACTATGACGTTTTTATGCCTTAATATACTATGATCTTTTACTATACTATGACGTTTTTATGCCTTAATATACTATGATCTTTTACTATACTATGACGTTTTTATGCCTTAATATACTATGATCTTTTACTATACTATGACGTTTTTATGCCTTAATATACTATGATCTTTTACTATACTATGACGTTTTTATGCCTTAATATACTATGATCTTTTACTATACTATGACGTTTTTATGCCTTAATATACTATGATCTTTTACTATACTATGACGTTTTTATGCCTTAATATACTATGATCTTTTACTATACTATGACGTTTTTATGCCTTAATATACTATGATCTTTTACTATACTATGACGTTTTTATGCCTTAATATACTATGATCTTTTACTATACTATGACGTTTTTATGCCTTAATATACTATGATCTTTTACTATACTATGACGTTTTTATGCCTTAATATACTATGATCTTTTACTATACTATGACGTTTTTATGCCTTAATATACTATGATCTTTTACTATACTATGACGTTTTTATGCCTTAATATACTATGATCTTTTACTATACTATGACGTTTTTATGCCTTAATATACTATGATCTTTTACTATACTATGACGTTTTTATGCCTTAATATACTATGATCTTTTACTATACTATGACGTTTTTATGCCTTAATATACTATGATCTTTTACTATACTATGACGTTTTTATGCCTTAATATACTATGATCTTTTACTATACTATGACGTTTTTATGCCTTAATATACTATGATCTTTTACTATACTATGACGTTTTTATGCCTTAATATACTATGATCTTTTACTATACTATGACGTTTTTATGCCTTAATATACTATGATCTTTTACTATACTATGACGTTTTTATGCCTTAATATACTATGATCTTTTACTATACTATGACGTTTTTATGCCTTAATATACTATGATCTTTTACTATACTATGACGTTTTTATGCCTTAATATACTATGATCTTTTACTATACTATGACGTTTTTATGCCTTAATATACTATGATCTTTTACTATACTATGACGTTTTTATGCCTTAATATACTATGATCTTTTACTATACTATGACGTTTTTATGCCTTAATATACTATGATCTTTTACTATACTATGACGTTTTTATGCCTTAATATACTATGATCTTTTACTATACTATGACGTTTTTATGCCTTAATATACTATGATCTTTTACTATACTATGACGTTTTTATGCCTTAATATACTATGATCTTTTACTATACTATGACGTTTTTATGCCTTAATATACTATGATCTTTTACTATACTATGACGTTTTTATGCCTTAATATACTATGATCTTTTACTATACTATGACGTTTTTATGCCTTAATATACTATGATCTTTTACTATACTATGACGTTTTTATGCCTTAATATACTATGATCTTTTACTATACTATGACGTTTTTATGTCTTATTTTGTAAGACATTTCTATGACATTTTATGCCTTACTATACTATGATGTTTTTTGACGTTTTTATGCCTTAATATACTATGATCTTTTTATGACATTTTTTGCCTTGCTATACTATGACGTTTTTTTATGTTTTTATGCCTTAATATACTATGTTCTTTTTATGACATTTTTTGCCTTGCTATACTATGACATTTTTATGCCCCATTATACAATGACATTTTTATGCATTACTATACTATGATATTTTTATGACATTTTATGCCTTACTAGACTATTACGTTTTTATGACATTTATATGCCTTAATATACTATGATGTTTTTTGATGTTTTTATGCCTTACTATACTATGACATTTTTATGACATTTTATGCCTTACTATACTATGACATTTTTATGACATTTTATGCCTTACTATACTATGACGTTTTTATGTCTTATTATAGTAAGACATTTCTATGACATTTTATGCCTTACTATACTATGACGTTTTTTATGTTTTTATGCCTTAATGTACTATGATCTTTTTATGAAATTTTTTGCCTTGCTATACTATGACATTTTTATGCCTCACTATACAATGACATTTTTATGCATTACTATACTATGATGTTTTTATGACATTTTATGCCTTAATATACTATGACATTTTATGCCTTACTATACTATGACGTTTTTTATTTTTTATGCCTTAATGTACTATGACTTTTTTATGACATTTTATGCCTTACTATACTATGACGTTTTTATGTCTTATTATAGTAAGACATTTCTATGACATTTTATGCCTTACTATACTATGACGTTTTTTATGACATTTTATGCCTTACTATACTATGACGTTTTTATGACATTTTATGCCTTACTATACTATGACATTTTTATGACATTTTATGCCTTACTATACTATGACGTTTTTATGTCTTATTATAGTAAGACATTTCTATGACATTTTATGCCTTACTATATGATGACGTTTTTTATGTTTTTATGCCTTAATATACTATGATCTTTTTATGACATTTTTTGCCTTGCTATACTATGGCATTTTTAGCATCACTATACAATGACATTTTTATGCATTACTATACTATGATGTTTTTATGACATTTTATGCCTTAATATACAATGACATTTTTATGCCTTACTATACTATGACGTTTTTTATTTTTTATGCCTTACTATACTATGACGTTTTTATGCCTTACTATACTATACATTTTTATGACATTTTATGCCTTACTATACTATGACGTTTTTTATTTTTTATGCCTTAATATACTATGACTTTTTTATGACATTTTATGCCTTACTATACTATGACGTTTTTTATGACATTTTATGCCTTACTATACTATGACGTTTTTATGACATTCATAAGCCTTACTATACTATGATGTTATTATAAGACTTTATGCCTTACTTTACTATGAAGTTTTCATACCTTAGTATACTATGACGTTTTTATCATAAGACTTTATGCCTTACTCTACTATGACGTTCTCATACCTTAGTATACTATGACGTTTTTATGCCTTTCTATACTATGATATTTTTATGGCTTATTATGCGATGACTATGGGACAGAGTGGCATGTTGGTGCAATGGTTAAAAATGTTACCTTTCAGTTGGAAGGTTGTGGGTTCACATCCCAAGCTTGGAGCTTTTCTTTGTGGAGTTTGTATATTCTCCCACAATCCAAAGAGATGCACATAAACCTTTTTATACAATGACGTCTTTTATGAAATTTTATGCCTTACTATACTATGCCGTTTTTTGACATTATTATGCATTACTATTCTAAGACATTTTTATGACATTTTATGCCTTACCATACGTACACTGTTGCTCATGAAGTTGGAATAAAATATTTTTTTACCTCTTTCCATGAAATGATTGTGACAATATGATTTATTCTTGACAGATAAAGTGTATATCTTCTCAAAACTTTAGTAGTCAATCTTTTCCCAAGTTATTACTGATGCATTTAAAAAGGAATAAACAGAGGATTGTGTCTTAAAACAAAATTATTCCAACTTTACGGGCAACAGTGTATATTACATATGCGTATGGGCATTCCTGAATCTAAATTCAGATCTTAAATGTAATAAACTGTTTGATTGACAGCATTAAAAAACCAATCTCTTTATTGCGTCCCTACCAATGTTGAGACCAAACCTACGCCCTTGTTCAATATATTTCCATTATGAGAGCGACAGATGTGCTCATAAATGTTCCAGCTGCAGGCATTTCTATACAGGGTAGCAATCAATGGAGATTGGAGATGGATCTCTACATTACTCCTGCAGCTCTTTTCTGTTATTCAAACTTACCTCCATCTTTCTGAGGAGCTCCAATTAGTCTGATGAGCCACCTCTTCGTCTCTGGCCGAACCTTTTCTCCGAGCTTCACCAGAAGCAACGGCTCCACCCGCTCTGACACACAACAGGGGCAGTTGACCTTTGTCCAGCCTGGTCCAATGGTGGTAGCGCCCAGTTTGCCTAGGACCTTTCCCCCTGGAATCTCATTCTCTGGCTGCTGGGCTTTCTCACTGCTGCTGCTGCCACCAGCACCTCCACCTTCATCACTACCTTCCTTAATCATGGTAAGACTGGGAAGACATGGTCACAAAAATTGTATTAGTTTGTCATGATGTGGCTTGAGTCCATTAAAACATCATTATCACCCAACAAGAGTGCTAGGAAGGCATCAAAGGAGTAAACATGGTTTGTGGAAAATGTGAGGAGGATTGAAAGTTTCCCTCTTCTTCTACACTGTTGGATTTATTTTTTTTTTCTGTTTTTTAGCAAAATATCTTGACAACTATTGGATCCCTTGCCGTGAAATATTGTATAGACATTAATGGAGTCCACAGGATGAATCTTTCAGAAATATCTCACGATCTGTTCAATATATAAATAGATCTGTTGGATTCCTACAAAGCTAATGGCATTCCCATCAGCCTTGTCTGTACTTTTGTATTTAGTGCTAATTAGCAAAAGCTAGCATGCTAAACTGTGACAATGCAACAATTATACCTGCTAAACACCATCGTGTTTGCATCCTGACATCAGTATTTGCCCCAAGGCACAAGCAGTGTTAAGCCTCACAGGTGCTAGCGTGGCTGTAGACTCGAGGGGTGGTTTTCACAACTTTTCTACTCAACAGTGTAGATTGAAGGTAAAAGAGAAGTTCTTACTTCTTCCTTACAAATTTTTTTTTTCATTACTAAATTATTTTTAATCTACTTGTAAAATGATTATAGCCAAGTTATGACAATGAACTGAACTCTGTCAACAACAGGCTCACATTCTTACCTCATGCTGGTCCTAAAAACTGAAAAGTGCTTGCAATATAATCTTTACAGTAAAAGCCCAGGCTGTCAACAATGACAAAGTTTGGTTAATTATCAAAACTTGGCTATTATCCTTTTACAAGTTGATTAAAAGTCATGAAGTTATGAAAAAAAACAGTTTTGTTAGGAAGAAGTCAGAACTTATCCTCCTGTTTAAGGTTATTGTGCCACCAACCACTACTAGCTCTTGTAACCACCTTCCCGACGCACTGCCAATAGACTTTTTAGAATCCATCATTTCCATACCTAAGTGCAGCAGACAGTTATTATTTTCATTTTTGCATTTTCATTGCCAGCTATAACATAGGATTGCGTTTAGATTTGCATGTGAGACAGAACGTGCAGTATTTTCAGGCATAAATCGCCAGTGATCTGCATCCTGTAGATTCTCATTTGCACTCTAGCTGTGCACTTAAGATATAAATCTGCACTAAATGTTTCAGTTTCTTGGGGAGGAAACAGTGGTTAATTCAGCCTTAACAGCAGATAAAAAAAAAAGAAAAATCCAGTCCCTCTGTTTTGACTGCATCGACGCTGGGCTTGAAGATACACTGACCTACAGACGGCAGTCGTGAAACACCGGATAAGACTGACAGAGAGACCAAACTGAAAGTGGTTCAGTACTTCCTATTGTGATCGAATTGCTGTTTAAACAGGCAGTGACAGTAGGAGAGAGACATATATGGTTAAAGAAACAATGAGTCAGAAAACAGCCTACAACACCTGGCAGGGCGTTGATGATGAGGCTCTGGTCTCCGGTCCTACAGCAGGCCCACACACCCCCTCCAAACTCCTGTTTGAACACATACACAGGCATACACGCATAGAGAGAGAGGAACATAAAGACAACATGTACTCAGTTTTCCTGAAAAGAAACCAGGAACAACACACTCTCACTCTCTGCTCACACTTACCCAGCCTCAGTGTATACTTCCTCCAGGCTTTCTGTCCATGTATCTATATGTGTGTGTGTGTGTATGGTAGGAATGCGGAGGAACTTCCCAGAGACTGCAGGGTGTGGAGGGCTGTTTGGTTTATTGTCAGGCTCCTCCCTCCTGCCTGCTCCCTGCTTTACTGCTGCTGCAGCCCAGGGTCCTACTGCACCACTTCCCTCTGCTTCCCTGTATTAACAGACCTAAAGAAGTCCAGGGTAGTTTGGTTTGAAACCTCAGAAATTCTCCACGTCAGAAAATCTACATGTTTGCACTGCTGACCTTTAACTTACACAAACAACAAATCAAATCCCTCACATCTGGAAGAAGTGCTCAGGTTGACACTCTGTCTACCGTTTGCTGTAATTAAAGTGCATTCAAAAAGCAGAACAGTGACAGAGCGAATAAATCTGTATCTCTATAAATATGTAGAGATATATTCAAATAATGATCTGCTTACAACCAAACACCTGCAAAGATAAGCATTCCCCATCAGCCTTAGCTGCAGTTTATGTGGGTGTTGATTCCACTCTGGTCATTTCCAAGGCCTTACTTTGTGCTGTGGTATTGGGTTGCATTTCATTTCGAGGGTTGTGTTATTTTCTCCACCCATGTACTGTGCATGTATCTTCAATTAAACACTGAGTAGACAGCAAATAGTTGCAGCCGATATCACCATTCACAACATGCACTACAGGGGAAAGTCGCAGGTGAGGTCCAGTGATGTAGTATTTTCCATAAAGTTTAGGGACTTGTAAGACTTGCAGGACTTCCCACAATGCAACTTGATAGCATACGAGACACACATCAAGAGGTTGTTTTTTTACTTTCAGTACCAAAAACTAATGCGAGGCAACGTACCATTATGTAGAGCAATGAAAATGTGTAATGGTTTGCCATCAGATATTTCACATTTAACAAATAAAAGTACTTTTAAGTTAATATCTAATGGCACAGAACACCAGCCCCTCTACAAAAAAGACACGTTTTGCAACATAATATCTGAATATGATCATTAATGAGAAATCAATTCAATTTTCAACCTCATTTTATTCTTCAGTCACTGTATATGCTGTTTTTAGTGGTATTAATGTTTTTGAACTGTATCAAATATTTTACTTTTACTTTAGATAAGGCGTGGGACTTGTCACTGTTATTATCGTTATTGGTAGTTTTACTGTTGTTCGTATTTGTTGTTATTTTCTTGTTTCCTTTTTTGTCTTGAGTCGACACCTGGAAGACTAGTTGCTACATTGGTAGCGGCTAATGGGGATCTAAATAAATAAATATATGTTTCAAACTCCATGCCCAGTTTGTGAAGCAGGCTTTCTGTTCAAAAAGTCTCTGAGCTTAAGAGGAGGTAACGCCGACATCATCACAGGTTATTTAGTGTCCAGCTCCACCAGAGCCACAGAAGACATTATACAACTGACTTCAGAGGCTGAGTCACATTAAACTTGGAGTGACCATTTAAGAGGGACCTGCACATGTGTAATAAACAGGGATCAAACAAACAGTACAGGACAGACCAACATCAGAAATATACAGACATTTATTTACAGATACAGTTGCATTTGCATAGACATTCAAAATTCCAAAATAAAAGTTATAAGATATTATAGTAAACAGATTTAAGAAACATTGTTTTACGCTGCATAATTTAGCACAAGAAGAACTCCTCAGAATCAAAGCGTACAAACTGTTGTTTTCATCGTTATCACATAAATATCCATAAATAAGATCTCTATGTATGTTTGTTTCACTTTGCCAAGCAGCCATCACAATCATTGTATATCATCATCATCATCATCATCATCAATATTGTGGTGATCGTTATCTCAACCATCATTTAAGACATTAAAAATATATATATATTTTGGTTCTTTCTGAAGCATCGTCTGTGCCTCTGTGGTACATAGTCATTTTACAAAAGTCTGAATTCTTTCTCCACGATGTTTTGAATATTCATCACAAACGACACTGTGCAGTGCAGACTCTCAGACCAGTGTTATGGTTTTACATTAACTGACGTGATGTAGAACACAAGACACATTTGGTACTAAATCAGTTGTGGCTCGACCCTGTAGAAGCCCTAGACAGACCTATTCAACTGGTTATATTAGAAACTGTGTTGTGGTGACACAACCTGCGAACAGGTTACCTGAAGACTTCATTATTGCTGCCCTGCATATGTTAATGGATATCACCATACAGTATTGTCAACATTTTTCTCTTCTTCAAAAGTGGTTATACAGATGTTGCATGTTGTTATTTTACATGTGTAAGAATATATGTACAATAATTAAGCGGGAGTCTTTCCTCAAACTATAAAAGTTGATAAAAAAAATGATTTTCGGCAGTAGTAGAATATTCTCACTGTTCTCTATAAGTCACGGAAATTGTCTGAATTTAACTTTGTTCTGCTTTAGTTATCAGTATTGCTGTCGGGTGTTAGGAGGAGACATTTTGAGGATCCGCCAGTCGCTATCAAAACCTCCTGCTGTCCAGTCAGATGCGTCAGCGATCGTCATCCTGCGAGGATCTGCGGGGCCAAATACACCAGTGGATTCGAATGGATGCAGTGAGACCCAAGGGTCCTAAGACCAATTACTTTTAAAAAATATCGATTTCCACATTAAAACACAAAACTTCAGTTACCTATCTGACTCTGAGCCCTTTGACCCCGAGATGCTCACAGCAGGAAGTGTGACAGGCTGGCTTCATGCCTTCAGCTCTGTCCCTCTGTCACCATGACAACACTCTAACGTCCTTCCACCGTTACATCTAGATGCATCATTATCTATCCACAGACACGTTCACCGTCCTCTGTCTAAAAAACATCCGTTCACTTTGATAACATAAAGCTGGTGCAATCAAAGAATCTCCTCTTCTGTACAAGGCGTATTACAAAATAGCTTTTTACATCTTTGTTTTATCTTTAATGACAAAAAAAAGAAGGACACGGAGGAAATATTACCACAAACCTGCAAAAATATATCTCCACAGTAGTTTCAAACATTTAGAACTCTGCTTTACACGACATTAACAGTGCACGGCATCAGCGGCCTACGTTAAAATCTCCCTTCTGCAGCTTTGCAGATAATTAATAAGTTAAATCTATACTGTCGAATGAATTTCAGCATGTTCAAATATCTGAAAACAGATGTTCTCTGTTACCAGAAACTACCGTGAGACCAAACGTGGTGGAGGGAACTTCTGTCAACTGTTACAAGCGTGCAATGTAACATCATGTAGCAGCGTAGCTCGGTAGCTTAGTGGCCAGCGGAGAAGAGAGCAGTGACAGTGAAGACAATACAAGGAAAATTCAAGCTGCAGACAGAGTGGAGGAAAGCTAAAAAAAAAAAAATGTTTTTTTCCTGAGTTAGTTCACCTGGTGAGATGATGCAGTTTGGGGGGTTTCTGTCACTCACAGTCTCTACACACTCTTATCTGTCACACGCTTTTCTCTTTCACTCTCTCAACCACTTTCTTCTCCGCCTGTCTTCCACATTCACCGACCATCTTTCACTTCCTTTTCCCCTCTCTGCCTCTCTGAGGGAATCGAGGAAAAGTGCTTGATTGTGTTTGTGTGCACATTTCCATTTGTGTTGTGCTATTGGCAAATGTTTAGAAACCCGGAAAAACAGATTGTGTTTTGAGTATTTTTTGAGTTTTTGAACAAGATGTACAGTATTCTTCTTCCTGAAAATAAACCATAACAGTCAAAAGACATAGTTGTACACTTTTGTGTGTGTGTGTGTGTGTGTGTGTGTGTGTGTGTATGTCCCTCCCTTTCTCTCTATGGCCCAACTTTTAGCTGAATATTAAAATGTTGTGACTGGCGATCAGGTGATGACGTGGCTGGTGAGTCAGAGCAGTGAGAGCTGTGGTTTAGTTATAAAAATAGCACAGAAAGGCCTCGCAACTGTTCAGAGACACTGTGTTGAGGAAATGGTGCAGACTGGTTGACAAACGCACACATGACCGAGCAGAAGAAAAGAATGTGTCGACGGCTGAAATTGAAAAGCGAGGCTGATATGCGCTACAGTTTGCACGGATGGATTAGCTGCAGGCGCCCAGGAGTCTTCAGAAGTAGATCTTCTTCCTTGGTTGTGGAAGCTATGGCTGCAGAGACTGAATTAATGATGTCAGCGTGGTTATAGCATGTGGGCTGGTTATAAAAGAAGGTGGTTGACAAGTCTTGTGCCCTTTCAGGAGAGCTGTTTCTGCGTTAAAATTTCTCATCAGGGATGACTGTGTTGAAGGGGTGGTCCCAGAACGTGGAGGTGATTCCAAAACCTGGAGAGAAAAATAAAGATTATTTTAGATTGATCAGAAAAAAAATGGAGGCAAGGAAAATCAAACCTTAAAATGAAATATGTTGCTCCAGTGCTCACCTGCTCTCTGGTGCTCAAAGTGGTGTTTGACGTGGTAGGCCTTCAGGTTGTACATATATGAGCCTCTCTTTGGCGAGCCGTAATGAAGGTAGTAGTGGATCATATCGTACACGACGTAGCCGCACAATCCTCCGACAAACACAGATGTCCCAAGGATCTCTGGGAGCGTGCTGCACAGGATTGCATAGAAACTTCCCACCACTAAAGAGGCCAGGACAGGGGGGAAGACCAGCCGAGAGCCGTCAAACGGAGACTGTGGAGCAAAGACGTTTATGTCATGAAGCTGTAGAAGTAACAAGTTTCTACCAAGGTAAAAACAGGTTAAAAAAAGGCGAACTGATCAACACAAGTTAACAGTCCTGTATCTCATTTTTCTGCTTTTCAAAAGTAAAAAAAAACATGCTCATTTTAAAAGGACCATAAATGATCAATGTTCAGAAAAGTCAATGTTAAAGTGAAACTACATTCAGGAAGTATTCAGACCCCTTCACTTTTCACATTTTGTTATGTCGCAGCCTTATTCTATAATTGTTTAAATTACACCCAATAACAAAAGGAAACCGCAGAGCTCAGACATAGGTTTGTGTCGGGGCACAGATCTGGGGAAGACTATAAAGAATTAGCTGTTGCATTGAAGGTTCCCAAGAGCACAGTGGCCTCCATAATTCTTAAATGGAAGAAGGTTTGAACAACCAGGACAGAACCGCCCGGCCAAACTGAGCAATCGGGGGAATCACCGGGAAGTTGTGGTGAGAGAGCGCCTGTGTTCACCATGACATCGAGCTGCTGTGTGTCTCTCTGTGGCCTTTCTGTCAGCCCAGGGAGTTTCCTCAAATTTTCCTCACTGTGGTGTTTAGGCAAACTTTTAATAAGGCATCAGAGATTATTTTTAACCTCTCACAGAAAGTTTATTGGAGATTTTAATAATGGTTCTGCTAAAAAGCACCTGCAGACATACTGTCAGTAAACTGGAAAAACAAGACTTCTGCATTCAAACTGTTGCCATCTGGTCTTTTCACCAAAAATGTAGCGAAATTTTCATTTGTTCCACAAGCAGTTAAGTTTTTAAACAGTTAATGCGCGTTTCAATCAGGCAGGACGTCCAGCTGGTCTGGCCTGCCTTCTTTGGTCATGTCTATTGCTGACTTTGTATGGGTATGTGTATGTGCATGAGGCGGATTTATGAGTTTGACTTTGTTGATAGTGGCTAGGTGTTGTTGTGACAAAACGAATTGAGATTACACTAAAAACGAGTTTCACCATTGGAAATTAAGTCTATCTATCTTTCTGTTGCGTCATTCCCCAAGAAGACTCGAGGCTGTAATCGCTGCTTCAACTACTGAAGTACTGAACAGTGTCTGAATACTTCTGTCGATGTGATATGTTAGTTTTTCCTTTTTAATGAATTTGCAAAAAATTCTAAAATACAGTTTTTACTTCATCATTGTGGGGTAATGAGTGTAGATTGATGATGAAAAAACAATTAATTTAATGATTTGATTTTAGCATAAATCAGCAACGTCACAAAATGTGAACGGGTCTGACTACTTCCTGAAAGCGCTGTAAGTGGAACAGGAGAAGAGTTGTTTATTCCATGCAATATGAAATTAACAATAACCTCCTTTTGTGTCATAAAGGACGACAACATCAAACAAACATGATTAAACCAGTTTTATGACCATCCGCCTCAGAGGCTGTGTGTTTGTACCTTGTGGTGCTGTCCGTGCAGGAGGAAGTGTAGCGTGATGAGGTAGTAGTTATGGGCAGGTGGTTTCATGTGAAAGACGAAGCGATGAATGCAGTACTCGATGAATGACCACAAGAACCAGCCCATCAAAAAGAGGAGTGGGAAAATATATTTATGGACTGGGACAGAGAAGTCTGGGAACACACACACACACACACACACACACACAGATATTGACAAAGACATAAACACAAACATTTGTGAGCTTATGCAAATGAAAATGTGAATGCATAAATGAAAATGAAAAAATGCAAGAGTCTCAGCGTGCTTGTGCACATTGTAAGCATTAATTGCACAGGAGTGGTGGGTGTGTGTTACCTGAAGTGAGGGCTATCCTTGTGGTGCCCTTTGCCAGGGAGGCGTAGGAGTTCCAACTGAGATAAAACACAATAGGAAGCCACACCACTGGTACCCAGTACCTGTAGCAAGAGACCAGAGCGACTCTTTACACAACTTTAAATACAGTCAGACTCTCACCTTCTGATAAAAATGCCTTTAATATCATTTTCATAGGAAGAATATGAGACAGAGGAGGAGCAGGCACCTCGGGGTAGCAGAGAAAATGTGGGTGTTAAAAATTAACCACTAACAACTTCCTCAGCTAGTGTGAACCTGCTCTTGTGCAAGACAATGAAACTACCAGCTGCATCAATACTTTCTGTTATACATTTATGAAATCATATTTTTCTAATCATCTGATACACATTTGTATGTCAGAACTTCACAGGTGGATTAAAGTGTTGCAATTACTTAATTTAATCCTGCAAAGTATATTTGTGACTGGATAAATATCATATTTATGGTACCTTCTAAATTATTATTATTTTTAAAAAAGGAACATTTTTTTTTACCTTGTCATATTCTGTTCAGAAAAAAAGAAAAGAAAAAAAAGTATCTTGACTTACCAGGAAGTCTTGGTGCTGGCCTCCATGAAGGGGTTTCCAAACAGTCTAATTGGTCTGTCTACTGGCTGGTGAACCCACGCATCGTATTTCTCTGCGAGGTGGCCCACCTGCCACGCCAAGGGCTTCCCCCAGTCCACCAAATCCTGTGGAGATATCAACAATGACAAATCAGTAAAATATTCTGGTAATACTCACAGGAAGTGTTTCACCAGGAGGGGAGAGTCGCTTTCCTCCAGCAGGTGGAGGCAGAGAGTTAACAACTGTTGAACTGCACAGGGACTGATCAATCCAGGAAGTGACTGCTCACTGTTTGTTTGTGTCTGCCTGCGCCTTTTCAGGTTTACTTTAGTGTAACTAAATCGCTGCCAGCAATAATTTTCATTTTCTGAGTCCAAAGACCAGACTCTCAGCTACTTTTACAAGCTCTTTACAACTTCTACATGCAGCTGTGGTGTGGTGGAACGATGAACATTGTACAGTCGAGCTTCACACTGATCTGTGGTCAGTTTTGTAATTTCCACAGGAACGTTTTGGTGTTAGGAAAGTTAAAATCAGACAGTCAACGCTTTAATCTCGATTTCAGCTGCATTACTCCTGCAGCACCTTATGATCTGAGCTCTTATGCTTTCTAAAAGGATGCTGATTATTTAGGAAGTGATGATTGTTGCCCTGGTGATGGTTTCTCACTTATGATAGCCCTCTGAGGACAGTGGTATCAGGCACGGACTGACACAGTCACCTGAGGTTGATTACGGCATGACAGGCTGATTACACCTAAGCACAGGTTGTCACGCAGGTCATAACATGTTAATCCGTTCCCCTCACTGAGACACAAAGACCAGGAGAAGATGGTCTGTCCTCATCTCTAAATTCTACCACACAATGTGCCATGAGCCATTATGTTTTACATCTCCACTTCCACAACAAGCATCATGTAAATACTTCCACTCACACTGACAGTTCAGCAAGTGATGGGAGTTCTATCTATCTATCTATCTGCATCACTTCAGGGTTTTTAAGTTATCAACCCGAGAGCACGGCCTCGTGACACCCATCTCTGTCCTTTATTTCCTCCGTTCACTCAAAACAAAGTGATTAAAACAGGTAATCCTGCTTGTATGTCTAGTAAGTAATGCCATGCACTACATGTATCTGGCGACAACATCAAAATCAATGCAGCAAAACCAGAGATTTTGTCTTCTTTATTCTGTGCATTCTTCTTGCCAAAACTTGCTGCCTACATTACCCACAATGCAATTTGACCGCTTCCAGGTCAGTTGGAGATTTGGTCGTGTGTTCTGCTCATAGCAGCTAATGTAGCCTCAAGCCGCTAGATGAGGAGTGGGCTCTCATTTTCAAACTTCAGCCAGTGCTGGCTGTGATATCACCTCAGGTAATCTATCAGACTTTTATCACATCTGCAGCAGTACTCCTCCAGACCTGCGAACAGATGTTGATGTGCACAATCTGTGGAGGTCCCCTTTAAAAAAAAATCAGCTACATTTATATTTCCTGCAAAAGCCGCTTTCTCAAATGTAGAAAACAGCTTATGCAACTTCATGAACGTATATATACAATATGCATCTGTCTGCTTCGGTTAATAATGCACATTTTCATTGGTATTTTGGTGAAGTGAACACTGTCATCACCAGTAGGTGTAGTGTGGTAGTGTAAAATCAAAAAATATACCACGGCTGACAACAATTAATGCTGCTACTCATTGACCTAAAGTTTTGTTGTATGTACAATCACAGTCATGTTGCAATAACAAAAAAAAAAGTAATTGAGCATTACACTACAACTGCACCAAGATCAGCTGGTTCCTCATGAGCTATTGCCAGAGATCCATGCCGACAACTCTTGACAACTCTCTGGTGTTCTTGTTCAAATTTGTCAGGAAAGAAAAGTACGTGCATCAGCTGCGTGTCAACAAGCCTTACCGCCATCTGTTGTCAGACTGAGAGGAAACATTCATCTTTAGAAGACATTTGACCTCATATATATGAAAAAAAAAAAGAAGTGAAATTGTCACACTTGTGACTTGTGTGGGAATTTCCCGCACGCAACAGATGACCCTTTAAAATCCCTTAAGAAAGTGACTCTTCAACTGACTCTAAAAACACAGAAGTCGCAGCGACTTCCTGACAGACGTCACACAGATAAAATCTTTATACTTTACTCTATCCTACTGGCACAGTATGTTACACTATTATTAGAGCTGAATCATTCTACTTAAGCAAAAAGCAAACTAAAAAAAAAAAATTCATTGTGAAGCATATTTCACTATCACACTGACATCTTGCTGGTAAATATTAAAAAAGTAATTCACAGTCAATATTTACTCTGAATGCCAGTGATACTAATGTTTGTTTGTTTGTTTGGTTTTGAATCTAAATCCTAAAGGTGAAGTTTGCTCATAAGAACAAAGATAAGGACGCTGCTGGTTTCTGGATCTAAAATTACCAAGAAAAAGGACAGAAAAAGAAACTGGGCCACATCCATGTGTAACTCACTTTTCTGTGGTAAGACACATACCACACACACACATACCACACACACTCACACACACACACTCACACACACACACTCAGCTTTATCCAAAATGACAGGTGAGTATCTAAAATACTTCAAACAACCAGGACAACATTACAAAATAAAGTTTAACTAAAGTGAGACTCAGATCACTAATCGAATCATTTGGAGTGAATAACTGTCTTTATATAATAATTACAAATCAAACTAAAACAGCTTCAACATCAAAAACAGGAAACATTTTTATGTGCAGTTTCTCATGTTTTTGTGTGTTTTTGATTATCAGGCAGGATATCACATGATAAATATGATGACACTGGCAATGCTGCAGCCAGACTAAAATAAAAGCCTCATGTATTTGGAACATGGGTTTGCTTAGTGAAATCAAACCACAGTGGAGCTCTGTGATGGGAGTGGTCCATGGGCAGAGGATTTATTTTCAAACAACACTAAAACACTCAAAATGGAAGTAGAGCGGTTAAATCCCCAGTTTTATTGGAACAACTGAGCGATCCGGTGCAGCTGTAAAGACAGTGACGCTTGCGAGGCGTCAAAGCTTTCGAGGCCCAGTAAAGGTCTGGTTTTTAAGATGTTAACAGTCGAGAGCTGTGCATCTCACTCAATACACCGCTGCCTAGCAACAGAGTGAACAAGACGGACTGGTTAACGCTGTCGTCACATTGTGCTGTGCGAGCTGACCTGGTATGCTGATTCCACTGATAAATTGACAAGCGGAAAAACAGTTCATCAATTTGCTCAATCACATGAGGATCATTTAGATGAATGAATGAATGAATGAATGAATGAGTCCTTATGTGTGTGAGAACGTAACAGAGAGGAAACTCACTTCTTTGTGAGTTTATGGTTAAGACTTTGGTCATGAATTGGTTCAGGGGAAAGATAAAGACCTGGAGGTGAAGGTTAAGGTCAGTCAGTGTTGGGGTGTCACTAGTTACATGGAACAAGATTACATAATTAAATTGCAAAATAAATATAATTTATCCTCTATTACAGTTACTGAGAAAAATATGTAATTAAATTACAGTAATTAATTGAAATGTTGGTGATTACAAATATCCATCCAAATATATTCTTTTAAAAAGCTTAAAAGTAGAATATAACATTCATTCTGTCGCTTTGCATCTTTTGGCCGAGCAGGAACTTCTTTTGGCATCTCTGTGGACATTGTAGGTGAGATAGCTGATAGGTGTGAGATCTAATAACACTCTCTAACTTAATTCAGCATTGTGTTTTCATTAAATGTTAACTCGGACAGGTCATAAGGTTGTTGCATTTCTACAGGGCACCAGCAGAATTAATTAATGGTACTGAAAGCAATCAAAAAGTAATCCAAAGGAATAAGTTACATTACTTTGATGAAGTAATTAAAACAGTTAAATCAGTGCTTCTTATACCCTCAACAGGGTAATTAGTAATCTGTAATCTATTACATTTCATAAGTAACCTTCTCCACACTGGTTAGGGGTGTGTGTTTGTGCATGTTTCTACATCCTCCTGTCTCGCAGTGTGAGAACTTCAGGATGAACTGACAAACAAGGACATTTTTGGAGTGAGGCGAGGTGAATAACCTGACGGTTGTTCAGCTCTTCATCTACCCCCAACACACACACACACACACACACACACACACACACACACACACACACACACACACACACACACACACACATACACACAATTCCTGCTCTCTCATTTGGTCACTTTCATTCCTGTCCACAACATGTTAACCTTGTGCTATTCAACAAACACTCACACACAGAGAGACACCTTCTCCCTGTCATCACATACCAGATCATACCAAACACACACACACACACACACACACACACACACACACACACACACACACACACACACACACACACACACACACACATTCACCTTGTCCAGGTCCACAGAGCTGCAGCGGTTGTACGGGGAGTTCTCATCCTCCTGTTTCACCTTCATGTCTGTCGTCTTCTCTGCCGTCTCTCTTCCTGTCTGTTCGTCGGCCTTCCTCCTCTCTCTCAGAGTCTGAAGAGAAACAAGACAGAAATGGAAGAAAGGTGAACTGATGATCAGATCCGTGAGAAGAGACAGTTGATTAAATTAGTAGTCACATCTGTGCACCCTCCATAAACCCCGATTTCTGTTTTGCCTCAGACCCTCATTTGCATGAGATAAAATGACCAGTTTACTCAGCGCCTTTGCAATAAACTATGATCAAGATGTACAAACGCTGTATGTGTGTGTTTGTTTGTAAGATGAGACAGACAGTCCATTATTTCCAGTCTAACTGTCCTTTGCTCTTTGAATACAACAGCCTCATCACTGTGTGACATGATACATGGCTATGGCCCCACGTGACGTGAACCATAACACTTTACATTTACAATCTTCAACCTTTGAACATCTTTATATGTTTGAAAAACACCTACAGCTGTCATCACTTCTACAGTTACATGGACGTAACCGTATTCAACACTACACACTGATCAAGCACTACCTGTGATTTTTTATTTTTTTTTTTTACAACCCATGCCATTAAAAAAAGTCACTGGGAAAGACCCTGACAACTACAGGAAGTGGCAACTGTGGCTGCCTCCCACACAGACCCAGCACGGTGTTTTGTATGGTTCCCATTTGCATGGAGGCATAGGATATAATTCAGATAAACTAAAGTTGCTCAATATTTTTAAAAGAATTTTAAAGAGATCTGTGATAGAAATTTCTCATACATTTTTCTACAAAAAATGTGCAAAGAAAATTTGACCATTCTTCATCATTTTTTTCTAGAGAAAAGATTTTTAATGCGAAATGCAAATAATTATTAATAAGGGGGGAAAAAAAATCTGATTTCACCAGCTGTCTGGATTCATGCCGAATAAAAATATAGATGACAGATTAAAAGTTAAAGTCTGACCATTGTTGGACAAGTTTTAGCATGAAACTGGGCTGACGTTTCAATCTGTTGTAACTGACATGAACACAAGTACAGCTGCTGTGAAGGAGGAGCAGGATACAGCCATTCAAAGCCACGGCTCAAGCAGGGCTGAGAAAAAAAAACCTTTCTCTGATTCAAATGGATTCATAAAATCCAGAGATTTATCTTTTAATACATGTCTTTTACAGTCTCCCACGGATGTTCGAAGCTGTAACCCCAATTAGTCTCATGTGACCAAACTTCTGACGCAACAAGACCGCACATCTAAAGTATGAAGACAGTGAAGAGCTGGACAAAAGCAAAGCCATATGTAAAATGTGCAAGAAGAACTGTGCTAACGTGGACCGGGGCACATTATTTACCTACCTATTATTTCTTGAGATGTGCGTCTAAATTGTTGGTTATGTTTTAATAATGCACCAGGTGAGAGGTACGAAACCTGTGTTGTAACTGAATCGTTATTGTATCGATGGAAAAACTGAGAAGTGAAAACTTCTCATGATCATCCAACAAATGAAAACTCCATCCACAATGTATAATTTCAGTATTAAACAGTCACCCCACGCAGGCTAGGAAGGTGGCTGTTTTAAGATGGCAGCATTGTCCTCCACAGACAACAGTGGCTGTGTTGAGACTGAGTTCATGTCAGCGACAGTGGTTTCCTGTCATGACCCAGTTTAAGTCCGAAAACCAACCACTGTGAATCAGAATTGAATCAATTTGGTTAAAATCATTACACCCAGCCCAACTTTCAAGTCTACACACAGCACATTTTTGGATGAACTATTCTAACCCATGTCTAGTGGCCCGGTGCAACTATATTCTTTGAATGTGCTGCCATGATGCTGCACTACAGGAAACAGTATCTGGTTTCCTTTAGTTTGTGACTAAGCACCCGACATAAACATTCAGCGTTATTAAGAGCATCATTATCTCCCTTCTGTGATCTGCAATTGGTTTCTCGGCTCGTCCTTTGAATCTGCCACTGGCTGTCAGTTCCCGTCAGTCAAGTGAAATATTTATCAGCTGGCTGGGTTCAGACACATGCACAAGTACATAAAATGTAACACACACGCTTACTCACTCACACACACACACACACACACAGGTCCCCTATGGTTTGTTACTAACATCACCTTGGCAATTCAACACCTACAGAGGCAATGTTACACCCTCCATTATCACGCCGTGCTAAAGCCACAAAAAAAAAGAAGAAAAAAAAGAAAGAGAAATAAGAAACAAATGGATCATTAACTTGTCCTGTCATTCCTAAAAGAATAGATTTGATGTAACTCTCTGAACTCTGACGTCTAGTTATATGAGATCAACACTTTAATCCAGTTTTTATCGGAAGTACTGTATGTAGTGATCTTGTATTACCAGACCTCATCTAGAACACTGACAAGATATATAGTAATAATAAATCAAATATACTATATACTACTATTACTACTAATGTATAACAATAACAAATAGTGAATATTGCCCTAGGACAGTATGATAAGTTATTACACGCCATTAAAATGACAGAGCCAGAGACTTATTTGCTAAACCATTCAATAAGTAACAATTTAATCTGGCAAAGAATTATCATTAACTCTTTATTTGGCGTCCACAGCCCTGTAGCTCTTTATTAATACAGGTGAAACCACTAACAGTGACCACAGTTACAGTGAACAGCAGCTTCTACGGATCAAAACACTTACTAACTTACCGTCCGCTTGTCATATGCTTAGACTCTCTTCTAATTTATTTGGTAAGGTTTTTTGGACTGCCACAGTGTGTAATGACTGTGTGTGTGTGTGTGTGTGTGTGTGTGTGTGTGTGTGTGTGTGTGTGTGTGTGTGTGTGTGTGTGTGTGTGTGTGTTTGCTGTGCACTCATGAACCATATGATATCTTCACCACTGTGGCTCTGTGAGTTATTTTGCCTCCCGTTCCTGCTCTGCTCACATTTTGGGATTTTTACAGAGTGTGTAATTATCGTCTCCGCTCTCTCTCAGCAGCAGGTGTGTTACGTGAGTGGAGTGTAATGCTTTCACCCTGACCATTCTGACTGGGCTCAGAGCAGGAGAGGGCCACGGGGCAGTTCATGTTATTTTATCTTTAAAATAGTTAATGGCGAAGATGTCTGTTTTACTACTTAATATTCATGTAATATACAAATGTCAATTAGATGGTGATCTGCATGAGAAATAAAGAAAAATTAAAAGTTTCCACTGTAACAATATTTGTATACAACACTGTACAAAGATTTTGGGACAAACAATGTAATTAATATCAGTATTTGTACAATGTACAGTCAGTATAATGTATTTTGTTTAGTGTTGTTATGGGTGATACTGTACATAGTGATACAGACCTGATATCAAAAACAATCACACAATAACACAAAACACAGCAACGCTGCCAACACACACACGCTTTCTGTTTCATTTGTCTCTACTCAGACTCTTTAGGTTTGCCCATACGCACACACACACACGCAAACGCGCACACACACGCAAACGCGCACACACACGCAAACGCACGCGCGCGCGCACACACACACACACACACACACACACACACACACACACACACACACACACACACACACACACACACACACACACACACACACACACACACACACACACACACGCTCTCTGTTTCATTTGTCTCTACTCATACTCTTTAGGTTTGCCCATACACACACACACACGCGCACACACACACACACACACACGCAAACGCGCGCACACACACACACACACACACACGCAGCGTGATAGTTTAATGTTAGTGAAAGAATGAAGCAGACACACCCTCAGTATCAACAGCAGTTGTGGCCTACGTGAGCCTGTGAGTAATTTGCGATTCTGATGTTTAAGGTGACTGTGACTCTGCGCCATTAACAAACTCCACAGGTGTGTTGTGTTTATTTGAGGCGTGTAAGACATGGCAGTGTGGAGTGTGATGATTCTGAATCTTGTTTGGAAAGAGCTCTGGTATCTTGACTGTGTTTCAGGAGGCTTACAAAGTCTATTTATGGAAGTGGAACTTAATACACTATTCACTGTGACGCCTTTCTGTGCTGCAGAAAAACAACTAAAACAATCACATGCTGTTGCATCACATTGTATTACATAGTACAGTTGTTAGTAGTTCTCTGTACACTCGCTTTATTTTGACTTTGAATAAACACTAATGTGATTCTGTGTGATGTTAGTTATGGGTTTAACAAACTGTAAAAATGTTTCTAAATTATCTTTAAAAACAGCAATGAAACTTTATTTAAAATGTTTACAGTGAGTGTAATAATATCATGTGAAGTTTTAATGAACTAATATAATCTTGACAGATGAAACTGAAAAGAATGAAAAATACGATGTGACATGATTCAGAATATGAATCAGAAAAGCTGATAAAAAAATTCTCCACAGCAGCTCAGATCCACTAACGTAACTGGTCTGAATACACAGCAAAGCTTCACAATGAATGCGTCAATATCTGCCAACATTTAAATGCACTTACATAGACAGACTTAACGTTGAAGTCACGGTCAATGCGCTGTGAGTCACCTCACAATTCTGATTCGACAAATATGTGCGAAATTTCCACATACCACTTTTCTCAATACAGACAGCACACACACCTCATGTATGCACCTTCTATTGCACAATGCACTCACAGAGCAAACCATGCCCACAGCGCAACACAAAGGCATATTCTCCAAGGAGCTGACAATGGAAACATACAGGTAAATAGGACCTGCAATCACATGACTCGCATCCACCCATCAGGAGGGTACAGGAAAAATACACAATATTAGATTGCTTAGGCCTTTAAATAAGCTTAAGCTTCATTTTAAATTACAATAAAAATTAGAAAAGCATCAGTATCCATATTAGTATTAGAAGTAGCAGTTGTAGTAGTACTGATGGAAGGAAAGCTCCAGTTAGACTTTTCAGGAAAAATACTGATCATAACAATTTCACAAAAAATCCCTGAAAGTACATCGTCACTGTACTGAAAGAATAACAACTCAGATTTGTTATTTTAATGTCTTTAAAACATTTAACTTGCAGTGAATACAAGTTACTCTCATAT